AAAAATCATAAATTTCAATTACAAATGTCTGGTTAATATTCTCATTTTACAACTCGAAACAACTACATGCATTTTTCATCAGTCACTAGATTCTCCTTTTAATCGTTATTTTAATTGAAATTAAGTTCAAACAAATAATTAAGATCTTTCATAACATAATTATTTATACATGCAAATTGTTAGCAAATAAATAACATGTGATAAGTTGAAAATGCATGATTAATACATTCAGACTAGAGGAATGAATGATATATGTTTAGTTAAACAACTAATGAATTCTAAAGATAAAACATTGATTAAGCAATTAGACATAAGCTGATAAATTTGACATTACAATAATATCAGAAAATATTCCTAATTCAAACACTGCTGAATTCATGACATCAATCATTGAAATAAAACTTAGATCAAGTTCTGCTTCTACTTCTCTTCTTGTTGTTTTTCAACACAAATGTATTGTGTTTATTGAAATAACTATATGGTGAGTTTCGAAATTGATTTTCGATGAGTGATGGATATTTATACTTTATGGTGGAATCAATATACCAAACGAAAAGAATTATAATACTAACTACTTTTACAGTTGTATTTATAGTCATTTGTTAAATAAACTAAACTCAATTAATGATTGAGCTACTATTCAGATAACAGAGTATTTTCTTTTGATCTTAACCATTCAGTATTCAATAAGAAATTATGTTGTTCTTTAAATTGATATATTCTTAGACCGTGATGGATTACAACAATTATCACTCGGGCATGATGGGTTTCAGATGTTTTTAACCTGGCAAGTTGATCTTATCGGTATTTTTGGCTGAAAGTAACTCTCTTAAAGTGTTAGATATTTCGAAAGCTGTTTTCCGCAATAATAATAATCCATTCAATTGTGGTGAAACTGTAAACTACTCTAATATAGGTATTTTCTTCTCCATATAACATCTGTTTGGTCCAAGTATCCTACTAATAAGAGCAGTATGCTGTATGATATGACTAAATCAGATTGACTAAGTTACGTGTTAGTATACTTATCACTCATCGAGATCTTATGCTAAAGAGGTAAGCCCAATGACTAGTCTTCTTTCGATAACGATATATTTAAATAAACTAATGTGTGGCGGAAGGATCGAAAACAGTAGAACTACTTTCAGACCTCTTCATATTTGAAACAGTTTGAATAATTTTTCATTAATGTATGAAATGAAAAACATAAATTAACATTTGACTGATTGTGCTATGAAATAATATCATCAACAATGGCATCAAAACAGATCAAGTTCTTCAAATGTGTGGAATAATTCAATATTTGAATTTTCTGACGTTTCGTGTAGGCCACTTCTTCAGATAATGTACAAATAATCTAAATTATCACAAGTTTAAATTGTACTAAGGAACGAAGGGAAAATATTTGGTGCGATCAATCAAAAATAGCTCTGACCGATTCATTGTCTTGTCATTCATGTCAAGGTGATTTATTTGAGGCCTGTTTGTGTATGTATTTTAAAGGATGAGAAAATGTGACATTTGTGGCGCGATAGGATAGAGTTGAGTCTGTATGTACTATATTAATGTGAGATGTGAATAGAATGGGACATGGTAGCTCGTATAGATGGTCTTAGTCGGGTGAATTGTGAGGCCTTCTTTTCTACTGGGGGTCGTACGATCAAGCAATATATGAAAAGCTTCAGTTTCTCACCTTTCTTTGTAGTTGTGGAATTGTGGCGTTTCTATGAACTAATAATTTCTTTATACTTGACGATTGTCTGATTTCGAATTCCAAATACAATACATTCGTTCGTGCTCATCTAGTTCTTCTTGGTCTAAATTGCGCTATTTCTATCACAAAAAAGCCTCCCCTAAGATGAATGATGCGAGAATATGCCGGAATCATTTATTATTTACGATAATAATACGAAAATCAGTAATAAAACTACTTAGTTTATTTACAGAAAAATTTATATAGATTCCAAAATAGACTATGTAGAAAATTAATATCTTATGAAAAGCCAGAAAACACAAATGAGCAGAAACTTCTTAAATAGGCCCAAAACATCAAAAGCCTCACAAGAAAAAGATATTAGTGTTATTACCGGTAACTACCCTTGCAATAGAATTTAAAAGTTCTAGAGAAAGCACATGTTTGAAAACATTTTTAACACATTGCGTTTGTCACAAATACGTTTATTTTTCTTCTTACAAGAACCGGCAAGAATAGGTAAACTCGACATATTTTGGTTGAAAAAATAAACAGAACTTGAAACTCAAAACTCCATCAGGTTATTTTTAAAAACTTTGACTAGATTTCACGCTAGTTCCAGTGCCCAAACTGAGTGCTACAATACCTTAGTATTATTACTGCTGTCAAAGTGACAACAAGGATGTTGGAGACTTAACCTTCAAAATTTATTTAACGCACAAAATGTTAAAAATAACCAAACTTTATTCGTAATAGCAATCCATTATTTGACATCCAGAATGGTATCTCTAAATGCAAATAATTCGATAAAAAAAACGAGTTGAATATATAATGCACATCAACAAAAGCACACAATGTTTGTGATTCCGGAAGACAAGCACAAGGTGTATGAGTAGAAGGTAATAAACTTCAATAGTCCAATCACCAGGAAAGAATATTGTAAACAACTTACGCATTTGTCAAGTAGTTGCTTCTAATTGTTGACTGAACTTAACTTGTTTTGGAAGTAGATTAATCTACTACCTAATCAATCTAAGAAATTACGAATAGTCACCTATTCACCTCACAGCTGATCATAATTTCTGGTGACTGGAACTGAATCGGTATTTGAAAGACAGTCAGGTCTCAAAATCCAGCAAATGAAGCCACAACAGGGGAAAGTGTCCAGTTTGGTCCTATAAATGCTATTAACTAACAATTTTACACTAGATTTCGAAGAAAGCGCACATACTACATGTACATATCCGATATCTAGTAGTTAGCACGACATTTTGAAACTTGAGAACGCTCAAATTTCGTTGGCCATTACTACCGTCTGTCATCGTTTTGACTGATATTGATTTTAAGGAGAATGATGTGAAGTCGTTTTTGAAAGTCCATCCAAACAATGTACTAAACTTTCATCAAACGGAATCTTGTCGTAAATAAATAGGTCAAACCATTCACAAAATCAAAACACTTGATTCCCCTGCTTGTGAACCTAAATGTCGTGAACCGTCATACGACAATTGTAGGGTAGATGACACTCAAATACAAGATTTTCAGTTGGTTTCAACATAGTTAAACTGTAACGTGGTGGTGAGATTTTATGTTTGTCATATGCAATCTATTCAGATATTGTTGTCGGCACACTTAGAACGTAGACAAGATTGACTTGACTTGTGCAAGTAGAAGTACTATTCCACTAGATCCAAGTTATTCGGAATGGCTGAAGAAATCTACTGATGATTTCTTACTCTTATATCACGGTGTACAAATGTTATATACGAACGAATACTAGATGAATGATAACTACTCTGAATTGTTCATGGACTGTCATTAAATATATTTCTATTGGGTAATAATTAAGTAACTAGATTATGTATATATACATATTCCCTTTTATCAAAATCGTCCATCTGACCTATTGGCTACTGTTAACGTATTCACAGATTATTCGTCTTAGTATACCACACACGTACCCACTTTTGGATCGGTCTTGTATAATTATTACTTCTCATTCTATGGTGTGATACGGTCTAGTTTGCCTGTATAAAAACCACGTATATCTGAAATATACGATTCACATATCGGAGACCGATATTTGTGTTCTGGACTGGACGGACTGAGTTGGGCGAGAAGCTACTATACACAGAACCGATTAGGCACAGAGTTGACTCAACATTGCTAGTGCTGGTCAACGCATCACTAGTCTAGCACAGAGACAACGTCATGGATGTCGGTATTCTAATTGGTGGTTTTGTCACGTAGTATTTGACGGGACATGGGGAATAACAAGACTTACCAATTGATGAAGGTTCAAACACAATTTCCCAATGTTAGATGATCTGAACCAAGTAAGTGAGTATAACTCCATAAGAAGTGAAGTATTACTGCGTAAGCCATAACTGACTACATACAAGAAATACGCTTCAAGAAATGACCAGTCGATCCTCGGATATTCTTGATATCAACACTGAGTTGTAACATTCGTAACCGTTAGTCGAAAGTGAAACTGCCGCATTCTAAATCTTATCTGAAGACTGAGAAATCACTAGAATCAGTAAAATCTGCGTAGACTCCATAGACTTGAGAACAAGTCAAGGGTACGTGACATCCATGTCAAATTACATTTAACATGGAAAATATTTGGTGCATTAATATTTGAGTCATCACATGCTTTGATGAACCGTTATTGTTTGTTTCTGATTATTATATGTTCTAAGAACGTACCAATCCAGTGATATGCAGTTCAGTTCTAACGAGATATATGATTTTACAGTCCCTCAAACGTCTCATTACTGACTTATTAAACCTAAAAGCACTTGAAATGTTCAGTAATCATTCACGGTACCCTGACCTGATCAGTTATTACTGTGATACACTACTTTTGTTTGTCATTAAAAGAACGATAATGCTATGATCGACGTAGCGTTCAGACTTTGATAGGCTTTCGTCTATTGCGAAGGTACGTTGTGCGCTAAAGAAGGAGGAGTATGTAAAGTAATACATGTTTGAGAATTAGAAATATTAAAGAACAAAAGAAAAATGAGACGACAAATTCGTAAGTTCGTAAAATGCACTTGCGTTTAACAACTAATCGAATCCATGACAATAAGCACGTAAATTAGCATGAAATGAAAGCGTCCTGATAATTGAAAACATAAATTGATTGGTTAGGATGTTGATTACACTACACAGATTTCTGCCTGATATGATTTACTAAACATAGACAGGTGCTAGCAGCGTTCATCTATTGATATTGAAAACTTGTTTGTAACCGCCCTGATGCAATGAAAAGAATTTAAACACAATTAGTACTGTATTTAGTGGACCACAAATTTATATTTAATTGTCAACGTAAGCACTCAGCTATGTGTTATGAAACAAGCATCATAGAGTTTTGTTTAAGTAATTCGAAAACAAATTTCTTAACGTAAAACATGAAAATAATAATCAGTGACGTACAGAAATTACTGCAATGTTGATGCGCTACCAGACTGTTATTTTAACTGTATTAAATTTTACCAAATAATTCTTTGTATCACTTCATTCAAAGTGGCAGCACTTTTTCTCAATTTACACAATTCATCCGCACTAAGTTCAGGCGGAATCAAATGACTGATTCCAGCTGAAGTTACAAGACATGGTAAACTCAAATAAACATCCTCTTCGATTCCGTGAATTCCTTTGACTGGAACAGTGAGTGGATAAACTGTATGAAGGTTATTTAGTAGTGCGCTACAAAGTGATCCACATGCCAACCCGATCGCCCATGAGGTGTAACCTTTCAAGCGAATGATGTCATAGGCACTCTGGACAACTTGCTTGTGTATTTCCTCGAAATTTTCAGGATCATCTTTGCATCCTATCTTTGGATTTAGAGAAGACAGCCGAACTCCAGCAACATTCACATTACTCCAAACAGCAACACTCGAGTCACCATGTTCACCAATCACATAACCATGGACAGAATTGGCAGATACTCCCAATTTCTCACCTAACAGAAAACGAAACCTCGCCGAGTCAAGCATGGTTCCGGTCCCAATTACTCTATGAGCTTCAAATCCACTCAATCTTCGAGCAACATATGTCAGAATATCGACAGGGTTCGATACGACGACTATGATGCAGTTTGGACTGTATTTCACAACGTTCGGTATTATTTTCTTGAATATATCAACATTACGCTGAACAAGGTTCAGTCGTGATTCTCCTTCGTTTTGTCTGGCACCAGCAGTGATGACGACAATATCTGAATTTGCAGAGTATTTGTAGTCGGTTCCCCCATCAATTTTGCACCTGCCAATAAACTGTTGACCATGCTGTAGATCAAGAACTTCCCCTTTAACCTTATCTGCTACGACATCAATAAGTGCGAGTTCTCCTGTCACTTGCATGGTAGAGAATGCTGCAGCCATTCCAACCATTCCAACACCTATAACAGTCACTTTACTACGAGAACGAGGCTCGATATCCCTTGGAGACACCGGTTTCATCAAAGAGTTGGTAGATGAAGACATCCTTATAAAAACGATGTAATAGGATAGACAATATGACCTTTTGTACGGTTAGGGCTGTTGTTATTGATAAGTAGTTTGCAGAAGAATGAAGCTAGTAGTCTTATGTTTGGGAATCTGAAATGTAGAAAACAGGAGTTATTGAGCACGAGATGAGGTTTAGGGGCTTCATCTAGGCTCATTTATATACAAGTCATCGTAAAGCGAAAACGTAATACACGTATCAAAACCTTACCTAGAAAGTTGTACTGAAGTGATGGAGTTAAACAATTTCGGCATCACCGGTTCCCGCTTGAACTGTTACTGCGAAAAGAAGTCACCGATTGTCCTATTTAATATTTCGTTCATTATTGTTGCTTACACCAGACTTTGTTTGCAAATTATATTGTCATTAGTCGCATTCCCCATAGGTATACTTACCTTGTTCAATGGTTGGCATTGCTCATAAATTGTTGTTTAGGTCGATCTTGAATCCTCTAGTTCACTTGCATATTACAGTGATCACTGTTTACTGAATGCTACTACATATATCACATCTCACTCTCTCTCGATTCACTGAAACAACAGGCTGTTTGCGTTTGCAACTTATGCGTCTTAGTATTTTCTGGTCGACTGCATAATAATCCTGAATCATATCGGATATTTCAAAAATACTGATCTTTTGTCATAAAAGGGTATTCTGAATAACCCAAAACCGACCACGGTCAAGCAACTGCTCACATTCAACGGTCTGTCAAGTTCTACTAACGATTCATACTGTAAATCACTGACGTAGATGATCTGTGTAGGATGATTGGGGCCCACTCGAGTTAAACCAACCCATTAACGTCGAAGTCATATCCTGAGGTTGGTACCTGGCGTGAATTACCCTTTTGTCGTATCCAGGTACTAGTGCTACTTTGGTGACCGCACAACACAAACGACGTTATTACAGAAATACGTTAGTACGAGTAGGTACAAAAGAACAGAATGAGACCATAGCTGCCTTGGTCGGGTGGCTTACTAGTGCCCGGTGACATTTCTTTGGCCCTACAATGCCGAACTGCGCGTCCCTTGTAAGACCACTATCACACCAACTTAGTTGAAATGCAAGATTTATCAACTTGGACGACAGTACTGAGAAGGCATTTACCACATTGAAAGACGGTGTCACAAAGTGAACAACGTTGGGACATCTTTAAGTTAAAGTATATATTAGTATCTCTGTGGATGCACCTGATTCAGAAGCACGTGACAACCCTTGGAATTCTCCTCGAGATGGTTACAAGACACTTGCTCGAGGTATGGTTTTCCGACGGGGAACTCTTGGCTATGTATTCTTGTGCATGGCACTTTTTTCACTCTGTGAAAGGCTGAAGATTCTCCTTTACGCCGACTATAAACCCTTAACTTATGCTGTCCGAGTAGCCACCAAACTCACAACTGAAAGATTTTTCTGGCTTAATATGAATAGAGGCGTAAAGTAGTGAGTACGCTCTCTAGTAAGCTACCAGAAATCTAAGTTGATGAGATACAACAAATATCTCCTAAGCAACTTCTCAACCCGTGGCGTTTGTTTCGATCATCAACATCTTGATCAGGTGGGACCCCAATTCAGATCAATTGTATACTCCTGTATCCGAATTTGTGAACCGTTCCACACAGTTGTCACGAGCATGCATATAAGTGATATTACTGCTGAAATGGCGATCTCCCCTCACCGAATAGTGGGTGACAGACTTCGGTTTGCCTCTAACTATCACCAAAAACCGTGGACACTTTCAAATCCGTAATTTTTTATTATCTTACTGCGCTTCTTAAGATCACACGATTCGCCTATATTGCAGAAGCTAATGATTTGGTGTGACGATTTCCCCGACAATGTTCTAAAAAATCTGCTTTTCCTCCGATTCTTATGTTGTTACAATTGAAACTAAGTTAATATGTTTCGCATTCTCAGGATCATGAGCTCCAAAAGCTTTTGAAAGCTATTTATCGACAAGTCACCGCAAAACCTGAAGATTATTTACAGCTCTTCGAGGAATGGTGTTTATTCCATGTTCAAAGGACCATAAAGTTGCCCACATTTAAATCTTAAATTGCTTTAAGTCAAAAATATCTTATTTTTAGGTATTTACTAAGTGTGACATAATGTCTACACTCAGTTGCACGAATCTTCTGAGCCTGGTTTAGACTGAATATAAAGGAACTCGATATGATTTTACTGGTCCTCAAACGTTCTTCTGAACAAAAACGTCTTAACCGAAGCCATGACCCTCCCAATCTTGACACACCAAACTGCCACTCATAATTTCGACACACGACTACACGACAACCACTAATCCCTAATTCTTTTACTAATGTGAGAAATTCAACAAATGGGTGATTATTGTTCACATCCAAACAGTTGTTCGTTCGTAATTCTATTATCACTTTTTGCTAAGTGACTTTCACTCAACGGTGTTTTGTGATTAGCCAGTAGTCAAATCAAGGTCATAAGTGTGGTTTAGTTTGATTGTTATGAGAAAAGACCACCCTTTTGATCCTTCGAAGGCTCCGGCAAGGTGGTGAGCAACATAATTTATGTGTGAGACCTAAGCTTAAGGCGAAACTGAGGGGCCATTTACTTCAGTTTACATTAAAGTTTTGACATCTTTTCAGAGGCATGATAGTACTACATATCTTTATAGAACGGTAAAAGAGATAAATCCACTCAAAACCTACCACCGTTCCATTAGTGACAGAATAACATTGTTGGAACGGGAACAAAGATATTACCAGCCTCAACAGATTGCAAGCCAAGTACTTAGAAGTTAGCTACTCTTGTGTTATCCTCTCCACTGAACAATCGAAGGGCACAAACAATGTGACTTCCATGCAGTCGTTGATGACCAGCGACCACGAAGGAGCTTCATTGGTGTCCGGTAGCCCGTCTGAAAGGACGCGTTTTGGAAGAAATTCGAGGTTCTCAGAGCGTTCGAACGACTATTACATGTAGGACATTTTACTGGCTTATTACTTTATCTCATTTTGTCATGTTCTACAATTCATTGGTTGAATTTTCAATTTTTGTGACGTCGAAAGCACAAATACTTGTTTTAAACGTGTTGAACTATAGACATGTAGTGGCATTAGACCATAACCACACAATCTTCAGAGCTGAACACAACACTACTCGGAAAATAGATATTCAATATTTAACACGGGGAAATACCTAACGATGGAAAAGGCGGGAACAATAAATGGAATGGACTGGAGTTGATCGTGGCATGGCTCGGCCATGCAGGCGTGGTCTCTGCTGAATGTTACCTTATATCTTCTATTCATATTAAATATATTGTTCCTTCTCTAGCCTAACCTTATTCTACATCATGTATTGGTAATTGATACGATACAGTGAGTTGGTGTAGTCGATGGTGTGACTTCCACGTAAGATCTTATAGATTAGGCAGTTATATCATGACAAATCTACAAATTTAGGATTAGGTCTATTATTAGAGCAGTACTAATATCATAGTAGACCATAATTCTACAGACATCTTCATAAAAACATTGGTGATTAATATGCTAATTTATTTACAAACAGACTTGACGTATGCATCCATCAAAGTCAAGGCCCACAGCAAGCGCCCCTTTGATTCGCTTTATAAAAACTACAGGCTTCTCAGGCAGTTGCATCGTATAAATATTTAGTGTCACAACTATTCTAACACATGAATCCTAAGTTTGTACGTCCTGTGTGTTTTTCAGGGTCACAGCGTCTTCATGTTGTCATTACTGATTCGAAAAGCTAGCTATTGACTCGCTGGTACATTTATACTAATATTCTGACATTTAGCTTCAATGATTTTATCTATTTAATAGCCCTACTTTGGATGCATCTTAACTGTAGACCAACGTTGTAAAATATTGATCATACCTGTAAAAAAGCGTATATCTGCTCTTTTAGAAACATATTACTATTACATATGTACATATTTCTTTGACAAAAGACTTCGGAAAACCCTTATGTTTTTTGTTTGTCGTATAGTATTTATATAAGTATCTGTAGTTGTATTGGATCCTAACTACACAACCTTTGTAGCCAAGCGTATATTTACTGAAAGGTTTACATTCAACACGCAACATATAGAGAAGGTCAAAAGTAGTGAGCACGGTAACGGTAATGGAAATAACGCGGTTAGGTCTTGCAGGCGTGGTTATTCTGCGTAAGTTATCCCTATTCTCATTGAATATATTATTCTATCTCTAACTTAGATATGTCCTTCAGAAGTGCTAGATATCATACTGCTGTTTGTCATGTAGGACGAATCAGTATAGACAATGATATGACTTTCACATAAGATCTCGTAGACCGGGTAATCACATCATAACAAATCTACAGTCTTATGATTAGTCCCTAAAGCTCGCTTTCAATTTCCAGATCTCTCTAATGGCTTGAGATACATTATTTTTCCTATATGTCATGTCCTGTTTTTCTATTGCTAGGAGAAAGATAAATAACTAATCTGTTGGATGCTGATCAAGTAAGGCCGATCTTAAGAAGCTCAAAATATCCTAACTTCTTGTGAGTTGCTCAGTGTTTTATTTTTCTTATTCTGAAAATTCTACAATCCTAAACATTTTCATATCCTTTGATTATCTATCGGTCCTTGCCATCTCATAACCACATATAATCTGACCTGTCTCTTGTAGATTATTCCATTAGTTGTCTTCCTAGCGGTGTGATATACTAAAGAGATGTCCAACCCATAATACAAATGCTTCACCCGTCCGATTTGCTCGGAACATGGAACCAGTGGAGAAAATGTATTCCAACTATTGGCTTTATTAGAGTAATATTCATATTTGCCGCAAACGTAAGGGAGCCTTACATCACAAAAGGAGGGAGGTTGGCGGTAATGACCAAGAAACAAGATGAAGAGATAATATGAATGCACCTTTGTCTGTAGGGCAGATCATTTTGTTTGTTTACGGCTCCTTATGGTCTAGTGGAATGTCACGATCCAATGGTATTGATGCTGATTTATTATGCAAAATAACTCCTTGAATCGTATTTAGAACGCTGAATTGGTTTCACTTCCTACCGAGTAATCCTATTATAAACAAACCAGACAATTTGCTAAAAACCAAGACTACTCAGGATCCAATAAAATCTGCGAAACAATATGGACT